CCTTCCCCCCCAGTGACCACAGAAGTTTTTTCTTTGCCTGTTTGCTTTTTTTTTTTTTTTTTCCAACTTCCAGCTCGGCCAGCTGAGGAAGGAAGGGAGGGAGGGAATGGAAAAAAGCGGCCTAGATGCTCCACAGACTGTCTCCATAGACCGCCTCCAGCTGCTTCACGCAAGGCTGTCGGCCCCCCATGCAGACCCGTGCCACGAAGCACCTGCAGGGAGACCCGGTGGCCGGGCCGGCACCCCCAGGGCGAGGGGGCTTTGGGGAGGCCTGCAGCCAGAGCGGAGCCTCAGTGCAGGGCTGCGCTGCGGCTGGAAGTGCATCCCTCAGCCACAGGAAGGGACTGTGGAAGAGCACAGGCTGGGATGTGCTCGGCCTCTCCTTCGCGGGCCCGCCGGACACCGTCCCCGAGGGCGGCCCGTGCTCGCACACGCTCACCCTCCTTCCGATGGGGACCCCACGCCAGCTCTCCAGGGCTGCTGCCAGTCTGAGGCATTTTACAGCAAGGAAGCGTGGAGGAGAGCCCTGGATGTCTGGAAAACTCCAGAAGTGGCAGAGTTTTTAGTAATTACTGAACACCAAAGGAGACGGCAGCACGGAAATGGAGGATGCACCCCCGGGACTGGCCTCCGCTTGCAGCTTGTGGCCTCTGGCTTCACCAAGGCTCGGACGTGCCGAGGGGAAAGGTGGGCGATGCTCCTGGCTCACGCAGTGGCTGAGGATCCAGTATTTTGGAGAGGCTAGAGGCTGCTGTACTCACACTCCACATTATCAAACAAAAGCTGGTTTGCCGGCTGGATATGTGTGGATCCTGGGGCCAGGAATTCACACAGTAACAGTTCAGCTCCTGTTAAACAACTGGAGAGAGGCAGCAGAGGCCAGACACCGGAGCTCTGACGGGTGCTGGCCAGCGCAGGAATGGGGAAAACACCCCACCTGAAGCTGCTTGGGCCAGTGCAAACAAGCACAGGCTGGATGCAGCAGGGGCTACGCAGAGGGGAAGGATGCTCCACAGCTTTTGGGAAGTGCACAGCATAACTCGCTCACGCTCTTCTCGGTGTACATGAGATTGCTGATAAATGGCCAAGCCGTTCTGGTGCCCCGCAGCCCTGTGATAAACCAACTCCGAATCAACAGCGGGTGTTTTGCCCCCATTCAAACATTGGATTGCATTTTAGTTCACTTTGAAGTGCATTCAAATGGTAAGAAAACAAACCACTGAGCCACATTAACCGAAGCAGAAATGCACGCATCTGGTTACCGTAGTCCCACTCTGCAACACTGGCAGACGTTTCATTAGAGACATCTACATTTGTGAAAACAGCATCAGTGATGCTGAAACCACTGAACCTTCAGCATGCAGCACCAAGTCCCGCCAATCTGACTTCACTGAAAACAGGATTGGGCCTGCAGCTTCCATATAGACATAAAGTAAACAGATAACCTGCAGGCACACGCTGGGTTATGTATCCCATCATGGAGAAAAACATGTGGTGAAGTTCCCCCCACTTCACCTTGGCTCACCACAAAAGGGCTTTCCCAGCACTGGCAGGTTGGACATCTCCTGCGTGCTGGATATGCGCTGCTCCGAATATCCAATGAGGTTTCACAGGAAGGAGCTTGCTGTGAACCTCTGTGGTGCAGGAAGACCTCGACACAGTTCTTTTCTGTTCAGGACAGGCCTTTGTAATCTTGTTCCAGTGCACGGTTCTCCCCGGTTCTTCCCTGTAAAAACAAAACAAGAAAATGAAATGCCTTCTCCTCCAGCAGACGCTGTGGTAACCCAAAGTAACCACACGTTCTGAGGAAGTGAAACTTCTGGGAAGAAAACTGCAAGACTAACCTTTTTTTTTTAAAAAAAGCATGTCAGCCTTGTGTTGCTTATAACTGTTGAAGCGGTGGAAGCACTTGGCTTGTGAGTGTTGTCCGCTCCTGCTGGTGTTTTCCTCCTTTGCAACAGAACATTTTTGCTGTTGTGAGCCTGCCCAACAAACCATGTGCAACGCAATAGACCTGCAGGGCTCTCAGAAGCTTGGAAAAGCTCATGCTATGGTCTGATTCTGCAAGATCATGGTCAGGGGTCCTCAGCTTCGGCTGTGATCCACCATCTTACAGGTTTAGGCCTGTTTGAATATTAAATGTTTGGCTCCATTTTTCTCTTTCAACACTGGTGCCATCCTTCCAAATGAATTAAACTATTCAAATCACACAAATCCTATGTGCTTGTCACTGCCTGCTGCTGGAAAATGATCCTGTGCCAAAAATTTTGCATCTAAAGTGCTTGATACTGACAAATCGTTGCCAGATTCTATTTTTTAGCAGTGCAAGGTAGTAGTAGTCACATGCCTAATGCCTCACAGGTACACAAGCATGTGCAGGATGTGTTACTTCTTCCGCAGTGACTGCAGTGTTTGGATAAAAAGGAATCTTAATCCAATAAGTGCATGAAGTACAAGATACCCTTTTCAGAGTGCAAGATAAACTGTGGCAGAGCTTTAAAATCCAGCACAGAGCGCTTCTGCCAGGGCCATGCCTGTGGGTTGGTTGATAACCCACTGGAATTTAATCTTGTTCTCAGCTCTAGCAGTTGGTTACATCCTACTACCTACCAGGTACAGACTTAAGCTTCTCTAACAGAGTGGTGTGGTCCAGGACAGCCATTAAATCTGGGCAAAACTGCTATATGTGAAGGCTGGCTTGCTAAAAACTGTCTGTTACTGACCAGCTCCAAAAAGGCTCTACTGGAAAATGCTCGTCCACAGAAAACACGTTTGTAGTAAAACAGTGGCCTTCCAAGGAACAAGGCTTTTCTTGCAAGATTATCTGCACCACAGAATGGGAAATGGATGCTCATAGGGATGGATAATCACAAGGCACATAAAATTCTTGCAAAAGAAAATATCTCTTACTGTTTACGCCTTCTATTGTTGCTCCTCAAATTGTATTTGCCATCCCCTTTTAAAAGTAAATAGAGGGTGGTCATTTGCATTTGACCATTTTTCTCATGTATATGCAGCATGGGCAGAGACTCTGCAGCAGCATCTGCTCTTCATCAGAAAATGGGAAACATTTGTTATTTCATGAAGAAAGCCTTTTATTAAAAGACACATTCCTTTCTGTGTGACACGTAGGGTTACTATTTTCCATATTTAACTGTTGGGACAAAATAATTAACAGCAATTGTGCCTTAGAGAATAAAGAGGCCAGCAGAGTATGCATCTGATAAGATGCCCTTGCATTGCTGCAACCTTATCTTCTAGTTACAGTCAAAAATACTACCAGCATGTATGAATTTTTTTTGGCCAATTATTATTTTAATTTCTGTCTAAGATTTTTCCAGTTTTGTATTTTACTTTCAACGCTGGCAATCAGTTTCATGCATTTAAAATGCATACACTGTATGCAGCACCACATGTGCTGTTCACTGACTTATTGGAATGACCCAGGCCCTGTGACTCTGGCCAAAAGTTGGCTCTCAACTATTCGGATGATGAAACCATCAAAACTGTATGAATTGGAGAAAAAGCTTGGGCCAAATCTCCATGTTTGGCTGGGGTTGCAAACAGAGGTGAGAGGCATTGCAGAGCCTCTGGAATAGGCACCCCCACAGGAGATGGTTCTCATGGAAGAGCCAAGACCGAGCGCGAGAACAGAGGCAGGCTGTGATTTGAAAGCAGCCTGGTTTGGCAGCACTCATAGAGATCCTTCTTCTGTACCACAGTAACTGCTCCTGCGCGTGGGGCTGCCAGCAGATCTGGGTAAAACCCACAGCGCTGAGGCATGGAGCAGAAATGAGGAGCTGGGGCAAGGACATACTCCTGCAGCTGCTACTGCCACAATAGCCGGGATTTTGGAAAAGGCTGGCTTGAGGACAGAGTCTGAGTAACTGAGATGCATCACCCTGGAGCAGGTTAGGAGCAAGGTGAGGATATTTCTGGCTCCATTAGCAATTTTTCATTTTAGCTGGAATGGGTATTCGAGACCCAAACCTTTTAGCAAGTCACTTAGGTCCAAAAGCAGTAACAGCTCCTAAGCCTGGGGTCACCAAAGATCTCTTGCCTGGTGGCTCTGGAAACTTTTTTCTGTGAAAAATTCAATACCTAGACTCCACAGTTCAGAAATAAGTCACGTTTCCAGGCCTCCCTCTCCTAGCAGATTTGTAAACACAAAAGTCCAGAGCCTTTGCGAAGAGAATCAGTTAATCTCATTCTGCTTTGCTGTCATTGCACTATTGAAATGACCAAAAAAAAAAAAAAGCCACCTTTTTCTTATGTTTTATAATACCAAAAAAAAAATCGTTTGAAAATGATTTGGAAAGCTATAGGGTCTGCAGCTTCATCCACTTACACAAATAGTGAAAATCAGATAATGAGATTAAAATAGGAGTGCATACCTCTGTAATACCTGCAAGCAATGTGGAGTGGGAGCTCATATTCAGTTCTCCCATGAGGGGTACCCTCCTGTTTATTTATTTATTTGTTTTTAATGTGCAATCTCAAGACAAAGCAGCTCTTTAGTCTTAAATTAATTCATATGACAAGGTCTTCCCTTCAGGCTGCCTCTGGTGAAAGGGAGCCCTGGATTAAATGAGCTAGTGACTGAAAAAATGCTTTCATGCTCCTACAGGGTGGTTTGACTGCGAAAGGTTTGAATGCACAGCCAGGGCCCTGCCAGGACTGTGTATTCTCACTTTGTTCTCCTCCTCACTCCTCCAGGCTGATTCTGTGAAGTACTGAGCCCTCCACAAGCCACTGGGAATTTTAAAAAGTG